TAGACTCCGATTTAACATGAAGGACAGATATCAGATTAATGACAGACACTTCAAGCAATGAAATTAACCTTGTCAGTCTCTCAGAAGGTAAGTACTCCAATAAAACTGCACCAATACAATCTAATGGTTTGGTTTCCTGCAAACTAATTGAGATGCCAGTTTATGGGTCTTCAGTATAGTTTTTGTAATAACAGTTTCAAGACAAAATGTGAAAGATTTATTAACAGACAGAAAAGCGTCATTCATTGCTCTGACAACAGCAATAACTTGCATTTCCATAGACACCTTTCATGTAGGGTGGTGGTATCCAACCTTTACGGATGGCCATTGAATTTTCTTGATTGATTTATTCCAATGTGTATGAAAGCAATATTTCAGTCAACAGAAAAGTAAAAACGCGCTACTAATTGAACACGGATTTACCTAGACTGGTGTGAATGTTCAGGGGGGGCATTTCTTGATGGGCCAGTGGGCCGGAAGTGGCACATGGGCCACAGGTTGTCAAGTTGTCCACATGCTGATAAAGGATAATGTCTCAAAACATCAAGTGGGGGGGGACAGGATGGAAAGGTGGAGGTGATCGCAGGACTATTTGAAGAGGCAATAATAATAATAATCTTTGTACTTGGTGTAGGGGCTGAAGGCATGGCCTTCGATGGTGGAGCGAAGGGGACGAGGGATGAACAGGAGGCTGGAGCCAGTCGAGCAGAGGCAGCAGTATGGAATACATAGGACGTTCCTGCAAGAAAGGTTCCATAACCTCAACCTTAAGTAATAATCTTTTGTGGCAGCATTAAATCTTGGGAAAATGGTCTAACGACAGGATAGGAGTGATTTAGGGGTAATCTGGAGCCCAGTGTGTAGTTCAGAGTTGTCAATTCCTGCTCATTCCACCAGCTGTAAAATATCTTGGTAATGTGAAGGAGTGAAGTGAATTTACTACCTGACCTTTGGGCAGACTGGGAACGATGGCTCTGCCACTCACTGTGTTTTACTCTTCGGCTCTCATCAACGTTTAAAATCTCACGGCTCTCACCTCCTCCACCTTCCCGACCTCCCCCTAAAACTCTCCGAACCCGTACGCAACCTAGGCGTCAGGTTCGTCACCCAATTATCCTTCCTCCCCCACATCCGGTCCCTCACCAGCACCGCTTTCTTCCACCTCGCCGGTCTCCCATCCACTACCATCCATAAAATCCAAATCATTCAAAACTCTGCCGCCCGCATTCTCACCCGCACGAAACTCCACTCCCCGACCCCCCCAGTCCTGGCCAGACTGCACTGACTGCCTGTCCCAGAGAGGATCGACTTCAAGATCCTCACCCTTGTATTCAAATCCCTCCACTCCTCTGCACCCCCCGACCTCTCTAACCTCCTCTCTTCGCCAAACAGTACCCATTACCTTCGTTCCTCCAGGTCTGGCCTCCTCCTCGTCCCCCGAGTCCTCCGTTCCACCCTCAGTGGCCGTGCCTTCAGCCACTATGCCCGAGGCTCTGGAACTCCCTTCCTCACTCCCTTCGTTCGCTCCCTCCCTTCCCATTTTCAGGTCTCTGCTGAAGACCATTCTTTTCGACCGCGCCTTTGGTCACTTTCTCCTCCCTCCCCCTGGCTCCTCCCCATCCCTCTGGCTTCTCCCCCTCCCCTTTTGCTCAGCCCCGGGATCCGTTACTGTAAAGTGCTCTGAGACACCGTCCGGCGTGGATGGCACTATATAAATCCAAGTTGTTGTTGTTTTACAGCGAGGTTCCTGTCACTCTGCGCACTGGTAATTACTCTCCTAGTGTGGAGTCCCGTAGCGTAGTGTGGTGGTTAGAGCCCTTGCCTCGCAAGCGAAAGGACCCGTGTTTGATTCCCGGGCACAGCGAAACCTTTGGTAAGTTTTGTTACTCCACACGCCTCTGTTTACCCCATAGTAAGTAGGAACCGGATTGTTAGTCGACTGGCAGATGGCTTCCTGGGGATAATAATCTCCCACACCAATTTTTCAAAATGTAATAATAATTTGGTCACTCAATCCCGCGACTGTTTGTGGGACACTGTTGTGTGCAATTGGCTGCCACACTTTGGCCACAAAATACACAGTCAATTCACTTTACAATATATTGGAAGCGCTTTGAGACATCTCGAAGACGTGATAATGCCCTATATCAAATGCAAAGATTATTATTATTATTATTATAAACCGGGGCTTAGATCCAACCGTGTACAATACAGTACAAGATCCCACAGCATAATTCGGAAAGAAAAGGGAGTTTCTCTCTCTCGGTGTCCTGGCCAACAATCCCCCAAATAAAATTGGTCACTCACTCCACGGCTGTTTGTGGGACATTGCTGTGCGCAATTGGCTACAGTTTCGCCCACACAAATATACAGTCAATCTGCTTTACAGGATATTCTGTGAAGCGCTTTGAGACGTCGAGAAGACATGAAAAGCGCAATAACAAATGCAAGGATTATTATTATTAATATTGTACACAAGTCACACAGACAGCAACTGACTTGACCTTGTACCTATTTATTTACTTATTGTTCAAAACCTTTGAAAAATACAACAACAACAACAAAATTACATTTATAGAGCGCCTTTCACGTCAGGAGGACGTCCCAAGGCGCTGCACAGTTGGGTCATGACAGGTGGGAAATGGTCAGGGTGAGGGGAGGGAAGGGAGGGAGCGAGGAGGGGGGAAATGGTCAGGGTGAGGGGAGGGAAGGGAGGGAGCGAGGAGGGGGAAGAGAGTCGAGAGGGGAGCTGAAGGCTCGGTCAAAGAGAAAGGTTTTGAGACCGGCCTTGAAGGAGGAAAGGGAGGAAGCGGCGAAGGCACTGGGGGATGGAGTTCCAGAGCCTCGGGGCTGAGAGGCTGAAGGCCCGACCACCGATGGTAGGGCGGTTGGGGCGGGGGACGTGGAGCAGACCGGAGCCAGAGGAACGGAGGGTACGGGCAGGTAGGTAGGGGGATAGTAGGTTGGAGAGGTAGGAGGGAGCAAGGCCGTGAATGGCCTTGTAGGTGAGGATGAGGATCTTGAAATCAATCCTCTGGGGGATGGGGAGCCAGTGGAGGCGAGCGAGGGTGGGAGTGATGTGGTCCCGAAGCCTGGTGCGGGACAGTACACGAGCTGCAGAGTTCTGAATGACCTGCAGCTTGTGGAGGGAGGTGGCGGGAAGGCCGGCGAGGAGAGAGTTCCCATAGTCCAGCCTTGAGGTGACAAAGGCGTGGACCAGGGTTTCAGCAGCGTGAGGGGTGAGGTAGTGCCGTAGTCTGGCGATGTTCCGGAGGTGATGGAAGGCGGTGCCAGTTGTGGTGCGGATGTGAGGGAGAAAGGACAGCTCAGGGTCGAACAAAACGCCGAGGTTCCTGACTGGCTTTGAGAGGTGGAGAGTGCAGCCTTGGATGCTGATGGTGTCAGCGCCTGAGGTGCGGAGGCGCTGACGTGAGCCAATCAGGAGGGCCTCGGTTTTTCGCACGTTGAGCTGAAGAAAGTTGTCTCTCGTCCAGGACTCGATGTCGGACAGGCAGCTGTCAGGACATCGGTGGTCGTGGAGTTGAGAGTAGAGGAGGAAAGGTAGAGTTGGGTGTCATCCGCATACATGTGGAAGTTAACTCCATGTCTGCGGATGATGTCACCAAGGGGGAGCATATAGAGGGTGAAGAGGAGGGGACCGAGGACAGAGCCCTGAGGGACACCACATGAGACAGTGCGGGGGGTGGAGGAGAAGCCATTCGTCGAGACAAAGTGAAGACGGTGAGAAAGGTACGACCTAAACCATTCAAGGACAGTGCCTTGAAGGTTGAGGTGGGAGGACAAGCGGTGGAGTAGGATAGCGTGGTCGACCGTATCGAATGCTGCCGATAGGTCGAGGAGGACGAGGAGACAGAGGGAGCCCTGGTCACAGATGGTCAGGATATCATTGGTGACCTTGACCAGGGCAGTTTCTGTGCTATGGGCAGCACGGAAACCTGACTGAAGGGGTTCGAAAAGAGAATGGGTGGAAAGGAAAGAGCGCAGTTGGGAGGCGACAACTCTTTCCAAGACCTTGGAGAGAAAGGGGAGGTTGGAGATGGGCCGGTAGCTTGATAGCTGCGACGCATCAAGGGAGGGTTTTTTCAGGGTGGGCGTGATGATGGCAGTTTTTAATGGAATGGGGACAGAGCCAGAGGAGAGGGACAGGTTGATGATGTCAGTGATATGTGGGGCAAGAAAGTGGAGCTGGGAGATAAGGAGTGGAGTGGGGATGGGGTCAAGGGAGCAGGTGGTTGGTTTTAGGGATTGGATGAGTTCAGTGACAGAGGGTGGGGAAACGGGTACGAAGGTGTGTAGGGGAGGATGGGTAGGAGTCGGAGTGTGGGAGGGAAGGGGTGGGTGGTGGGTGGAAGTTGGAGGGGAAGTGACCGCGCAGCGGATTCCCTTGATCTTGGATTCAAGGAAATCCAGCATCTCCTCGCAGTGAAGGTTGGAGGAGATGACCTGCGCGGGGTGGCGGGGGGGACGGAGGAGTCGGGTTGTGGTGGAAACAATGGTTGGGCGGATAGAACGGGGTACATGAAGCAAGCCAGTGTTAGCTAAATGGAGAGAGGGGCTGGGGTGGGAGGGATACACAAGGTCACAGAGCTTGGGTGGAGTTGAGGCCGTGGAGGGATTTGAAAGCAAGGCAGACGATCTTGAATTTGATCTGTTGGGGGAGGGAGAACCAGTGGAGCCGGGCGAGGATGGAGTTGATAGGCTCATGGAGCCTAGTGGGCGAGAGGATTCGGGCTGCAGAGCTCTGGATGGTGTGCAGCATGTGGGGGGAGGAACTGGGAAGTGTGGAGAGCAGATTTTTCAAATTGTGCAGCCATGTATGTCGATAGTTCTCTGTCACTGTCCGTCGATACTGTCATCTGTGACATCAGTGGCTAAGTCTGTCACTGTATCTCAGTCAAATTCCCACATCAATGACCACTCAGGAGAGGAACCAATGTGACATGCAGTATGATGATTAATGCAGAGCAGCCAGTAAATACCTTGTGCTTCAAAGCTCGGATGTCTTCCTGACAGGAATTCCAGTCACTCTCTGCCAGTTTCCTCAGGTCTGCATCTTCATCTGTAGCAAAGGGATGAGATATTAGCCCCATTTGTATCTTATTCGTGTACATCAGCATTATATAATAATAATAATCATCATTGAGATGTCTCAAAGAGTTTCACAGAATATATTGTAAAGTGTATGTTTTGTGGGTGAAAATCGGCAGCCAATTGCGCACCGCAGTGTCCCACAAATAGTCATGGATTGAGTGACCAAATTGGTTTGGGAGAGGAGTTATTACCCCTGGAAAGCGATCCGCCAATCAACTAACAAACGTATTCCTATTTACTGTTAGGTAAACAGAGGCGTGTGGAGTAAGGGAACTTGCCTAAGGTTTCGCCCCGCCTGGGAATCGAACCCGCGTCCTCTCACTTGCGAGGCGAGTGCTCTAACCACTGAGTTACAGGACTCCTGTATAACAGGGTTCGACTGTGAAAACACGGTTGGTGAGTTAGTGACTAGAGGGCACCCATTTGAGATAGTTAGCAGGCAAGCAAATGAGGAGCTTGTGAGGAATATTTTTCACACACAGAGAGTGGTTAGGATATGGAATGTGCTGCCAGGAACAGTGGTGGAGGCAAAATCCATATTAACTTTTAAAACAACAAATAACAACAAAATTACATTTATATAGCGACTTTCAAACGTAACCAGATGAGATGCTTAAAAAGCGGTAAAATAGAAGGGTATGTGGGGAAAGGGGAGGTAAACAGGGCTGAAAGGATTGTCATTAAAGGATTATTCACAGAAACCATGGGCTGAGTGGCCTTCTTCTGTGCCCTAAATTTAATAATAATCCTTGCATTTGATATAGCACCTTATCACGTTTTCAAGACATCTCAAAACGCTTCCACAGAATATTCTGTACAGTGAATTATTTTGTGGGCGAAACGCGGCAGCCAATTGCGCACAGCAATGTCCCACAAACAGTCATTATTTCTAAGCATAATAAGTGACACGGAGAAGTAATGGAATCCAAAGCTCATCAGATTAGTTTGGATGAAAAAGGCCCTTCAGCCCATCTGAATCGGCTTTCATTTATTACGATGCTGGGGGAAGATGTTCGAAGGGGCAGAAAGCCCTCTCTGGCTCTTAGGACATGAACCCTCACCTTTCATCAGCGTCTCGATGTCCTCCAGCTCCTGTACTTTGACCCTCAGCCCATGCAGCTCCGTCACCAGTGGAGCCAGCTCCCTCGCCCTCTTCCCAGCCCCCTTCACCTCCTCCTCCGAAGCCTGGGCTGATTGCAGTCGCTGCTGGGAGGCCATGTACTCGCTCTCCAGCCTCTCCAGGTATTGCTGAAGCGAGCCTCGGGCGAAGAGTTCCTCCACTGCATGCGGGTCTGTGCTGAAGGCACGCAGTGAGCAGTTCCACCCCATCGCCGCTCGCTTACTGCAAACAAGTAGACAAGGGCCACGTCTCGCCCTCTGGCAGAAAGTCCTCCTCACGTGCTCCAGGGGTGGCCTCGCAACCCCCTCCCACTGACAGAAGTGACTGCTGGTAACTCTCATCACTGCCGGGATAGTCTGTCTGAGAAACAGCATCTTCTCCTCCACACAAAGCCTTTTCCTGCTCACCAGAATCCCGAGGTTCAAATATCCATGTACGAGATTCTGCGAAGCAAACATAATAATAATAATAATCCTTGCATTTGATATAGCGCCTTATCACATCGTCGAGACAGCGCAAAGCCCTTCACAGAATATACTGTAAAGTTGATTGACTGTATATTTTGTGGGTAAAACACAGCAGCCAATTGCGCACAGCAGTGTCCCTCCCACAAACAGTCATGGATCCAGTGACCAATTTTTTTTTGGTTTTGGAGGGATTATTATCCCCGGAATGTGATCCGCCAATTGACTAACAACCGGGTTCCTACTTAGGTGAACACAGATGTGTGGCGTAAGGAAACTTGCCTAAGGTTTCGCACTGCCGGGAATCGAACCTGGGTCCTCTTGCTTGCAAGGCGAGCGCTCTAACCACTACACTACACTACAGGACTCCATGTAAATGCTGCAGAACTTCAGAACTCGGGAGAGTCATAGAACCGTACGATATCCACAGCACTTTGAGACATATCGACAACGTGATAAGGCGCTATATCAAATGCAAGGATTATTATTATTATCATTGTAATAATAATAATAATCCTTGCATTTGATATAGCGCTTTTCACGTCGGGAGGACGTCCCAAAGCGCTTCACAGAACACACTGTAAAGTGAATTGACTGTATATTTGTGGGCGAACGCGGCAGCCAATTGCGCACAGCAATGTCCCACAAACAGTCGTAGATTGAAAATGACCAATTTATTATAGTTTTTGTTTTGGAGGGATTATTATTAGGCTCTGTGTGGAGTAAGGAAACTTGCCCAAGGTTTCGCCCTCTGCCTGGAATTGAACTCAGGTCTCTCACTTGCAAAGCGAGTGCTCTAACCACTGAGCTACAGGACTCCACATTATAGCACAGGTGATGAAAAAAAACAATAAACTATTTTAAACATGAAGACACACTTTGAGGACTTAAAAAGATTCAGGGTTACGAGACGATGAAACCAATAATATTATACCACAATATACTGCATTGAAGTATTGGTGTATGTGTTGTGTGGTGTTTGAGACCGTGTGTTTGTACGCAGTTATGTGGATTTCAGTCCATGTGTATCTATGAGTGTGTGTGTGAGGGTGTACGGAATTCACTGCCGCATTTCACCCACAAATATACAGTCAATTCGCTAAAAAGGTCTATTCTGCGAAGCGCTTTGAGTCGTCTCTGGAAGTCGTGAAAAGCGCTGTATCAAATGCAAGGATTATTATTATTATTATTATTATTATTTATTACGTGCTTATGGTGGACATTTGGAGCCTGGGTACGGGGAGTTCTGTGGCTCAGCGGTTAAAGCACTCGCCTCACCAGCGAAAGACCTGGGTTCGATTCCCGGGCAGGGCAAAATGTTGGGCAAGTCTCCTTACTCCGCGCACACGCCTCTGCTTACCCAGCAGTGAGCAGTGAAGTCAACTCACTTTACGGTATATCCTGCGAAGCGCTCGGAGACGCCTGGAAGCGGTGATCAGGCGCCGTGTCAGGGGGCGGAGTCACACTGGAGGGCTGAGGGGGCGGAGTCGCACTGGAGGGCTGAGGGGGCGGAGTCGCACTGGAGGGCTGAGGGGGCGGAGTCACACGGGAGGTCTGAGGGGGCGGAGTCACACTGGAGGGCTGAGGGGGGGTCACTGAGGGCTGGGGGGCGGAGTCACACTGGAGGGCTGAGGGGGCGGAGTCACACTGGAGGGCTGAGGGGCGGTGGAGGGGGGGCGGAGTCACACTGGAGGGCTGAGGGGGCGGAGTCACACTGGAGGGCTGAGGGGGCGGAGTCACACTGGAGGGGGCGGGTCATGGAGGGCTGAGGGGCGGAGTCACACTGGAGGCTGAGGGGCGGAGTCACACTGGAGGGCTGAGGGGGGCGGAGTCACACGGGAGGCCTGAGGGGCGGAGTCACACGGGAGGCCTGAGGGGGCTGTTGGGGGGGGGATGTTGGGGGTGTGAGCCGGTGGCAGAGGCTCCCGCTGAAGCCCGCGGTGTGTGTGTGGGGGGGGGGGGGGGAGGGGGTGAGGGTCGCGGGTTGTTGTCGCTGAGCTTCAGCGTCACTCACCAACCGCCAGTTCGCCTGGTACCGCGCCTGCGTCACCCCCGCCTCGTTCCGGCGATTACCGCGCATGCGTCGGCTCTGGTTTTCCAGCCCAGCCTACACTGCGCACGCGTCCTGCTCTCCCCGCTTGGCGCATAGGGCGCTTTCTCCGCCGCGCAGCCTTGTGGGTGCGCAGCGCCGCCATTGCCCCTCGTGTCCAGCTGTTGGTATGTGGGTAACATTGGAATCCCACAGGTGTGACTCACCTGTACTTGTACTTATAATAATAATAATCCTCGCATTTGACATAGCGCTTTTCACGTCTTCTCGACGTCTCAAAGCGCTTCACAGAATATGCTGTAAAGCGAATTGACTGTATATTTGTGGGCGAACGCGGCAGCCAATTGCGCACAGCAATGTCCCACAAACAGTCGTAGATTAAAAAAGACCAATTTTTTATTGTTTTTTGGGTTTGGAGGGATATTATTAGGCTCTGTGGAGTAAGGAAACTTGCCCAAGGTTTCCCGCTGCGGGGATTAACTCAGGTCTCTCACTGCAAAGCGAGTGCTCTAACCACTGAGCTACAGACTACGTGCAGCCAATTGATTATTGTATTATAAAATGCTGGTCGGGGAGTCCTGTAGCTCAGTGGTTAGAGCGCTCGCCTTACAAGCGAAAAATTGGTCATTTTCAATCCACGACTGTTGGATGTGGGACATTGCTGTGCGCAATTGGCTGCCGCGTTCGCCCACAAATATACAGTCAATTCGCTTTACAGCATATTCTGTGAAGCGCTTTGAGACGTCGAGAAGACGTGAAAAGCGCTATGTCAAATGCGAGGATTATTATTATTATAAGTACAAGTACAGGTGAGTCACACCTGTGGGATTCCAATGTTACCCACATACCAACAGCTGGACACGAGGGGCAATGGCGGCGCTGCGCACCCACAAGGCTGCGCGGAGGAGAAAGCGCCCTATGCGCCAAGCGGGAGAGCAGGACGCGTGCGCAGTTTAGGCGGGCTGGAAAACCAGAGCCGACGCATGCGCGGTAATCGCCGGAACGAGGCGGGGGTGACGCAGGCGCGGTACCAGGCGAACTGGCGGTTGGTGAGTGACGCTGAAGCTCAGCGACAACAACCCGCGACCCTCACCCCCTCCCCCCCCCCCCCCCCCCCCCCCACACACACACCGCGGGCTTCAGCGGGAGCTCTGCCACCGGCTCACACCGCCCAACATCCCCCCCAACAGCCCCCTCAGGCCTCCCGTGTGACTCCGCCCCCTCAGGCCTCCCGTGTGACTCCGCCCCCTCAGGCCTCCCGTGTGACTCCGCCCCCTCAGCCCTCCAGTGTGACTCCGCCCCCTCAGCCCTCCAGTGTGACTCCGCCCCCTCAGCCTCCAGTGCGACTCCGCCCCCTCAGCCCTCCAGTGTGACTCCGCCCCCTCAGCCCTCCAGTGTGACTCCGCCCCCTCAGCCCTCCAGTGTGACTCCGCCCCCTCAGCCCTCCAGTGTGACCCCGCCCCTCAGCCCTCCAGTGTGACTCCGCCCCCTCAGACCTCCAGTGAGACTCCGCCCCTCAGCCCTCCAGTGCGACTCCGCCCCCTCAGCCCTCCAGTGCGACTCCGCCCCCTCAGCCCTCCAGTGTGACTCCGCCCCCTGACACGGCGCCTGATCACCGCTTCCAGGCGTCTCCGAGCGCTTCGCAGGATATACCGTAAAGTGAGTTGACTTCACTGCTCACTGCTGGGTAAGCAGAGGCGTGTGCGCGGAGTAAGGAGACTTGCCCAACATTTTGCCCCGCCCGGGAATCGAACCCAGGTCTTTCGCTGGTGAGGCGAGTGCTTTAACCGCTGAGCCACAGAACTCCCCGTACCCAGGCTCCAAATGTCCACCATAAGCACGTAATAAATAATAATAATAATAATAATAATAATCCTTGCATTTGATACAGCGCTTTTCACGACTTCCAGAGACGACTCAAAGCGCGCTTCGCAGAATAGACCTTAAAGCGAATTGACTGCATATTTGTGGGTGAAATGCGGCAGTGAATTCCGTACACCCTCACACACACACTCAGAGATACACATGGACTGAAAATCCACATAACTGCGTACAAACACACGGTCTCAAACACCACACAACACATACACCAATACTTCAGTGCAGTACATTGTGGTATAATATTATTGGTTTCATCGTCTCGTAACCCCGAATCTTTTTAAGTCCTCAAAGTGTGTCTTCATGTTTAAAATAGTTTATTGTTTTTTTTCATCACCTGTGCTATAATGTGGAGTCCTGTAGCTCAGTGGTTTGAGCACTCGCTTTGCAAGCGAGAGACCTGAGTTCAATTCCAGGCAGAGGGCGAAACCTTGGGCAAGTTTCCTTACTCCCCACAGAGCCTAATAATAATCCCTCCAAAACAAAAACAATAATAAATTGGTCATTTTCAATCTACGACTGTTTGTGGGACATTGCTGTGCGCAATTGGCTGCAGCGTTCGCCCACAAATATACAGTCAATTCACTTTACAGTGTGTTCTGTGAAGCGCTTTGGGACGTCCTCTCCCGACGTGAAAAGCGCTATATCAAATGCAAGGATTGTTATTTTTATTACAATGATAATAATAATAATCCTTGCATTTGATATAGCGCCTTATCACGTTGTCGATATGTCTCAAAGTGCTGTGGATATCGTACGGTTCTATGACTCTCCCGAGTTCTGAAGTTCTGCAGCATTTGACATGGAGTCCTGTAGTGTAGTGTAGTGGTTAGAGCGCTCGCCTTGCAAGCAAGAGGACCCAGGTTCGATTCCCGGCAGTGCGAAACCTTAGGCAAGTTTCCTTACGCCACACATCTGTGTTCACCTAAGTAGGAACCCGGTTGTTAGTCAATTGGCGGATCACATTCCGGGGATAATAATCCCTCCAAAACCAAAAAAAAATTGGTCACTGGATCCATGACTGTTTGTGGGAGGGACACTGCTGTGCGCAATTGGCTGCTGTGTTTTACCACAAAATATACAGTCAATCAACTTTACAGTATATTCTGTGAAGGGCTTTGCGCTGTCTCGACGATGTGATGAGGCGCTATATCAAATGCAAGGATTATTATTATTATAATAATAATAATAATAATAATAATCCTTGCATTTGATATAGCGCTTTTCACGTCGGGAGGACGTCCCAAAGCGCTTCACAGAACACACTGTAAAGTGAATTGACTGTATATTTGTGGGCGAACGCGGCAGCCAATTGCGCACAGCAATGTCCCACAAACAGTCGTAGATTGAAAATGACCAATTTATTATTATTTTGTTTTTTTGGAGGGATTATTATTAGGCTCTGTGTGGAGTAAGGAAACTTGCCCTAGGTTTCGCCCTGACTGGAATTGAACTCAGGTCTCTCACTTGCAAAGCGAGTGCTCTAACCACTGAGCTACAGGACTCCACAACCATGTGCACTTACCGGCCAGCTGCAATGAATCGCGGGAAACATAGTCTTGAACCATTGCCTGATGCGCAAAAGAACTTCCATTTCCTGCGATTCAATGCTTGCTTTTATTTTATAATTCAATTATTATGTTTGCTTCGCAGAATCTCGTACATGGATATTTGAACCTCGGGATTCCGGTGAGCAGGAAAAGGCTTTGTGTGGAGGAGAAGATGCTGTTTCTCAGACAGACTATCCCGGCAGTGATGAGAGTTACCAGCAGTCACTTCTGTCAGTGGGAGGGGGTTGCGAGGCCACCCCTGGAGCACGTGAGGAGGACTTTCTGCCAGAGGGCGAGACGTGGCCCTTGTCTACTTGTTTGCAGTAAGCGAGCGGCGATGGGGTGGAACTGCTCACTGCGTGCCTTCAGCACAGACCCGCATGCAGTGGAGGAACTCTTCGCCCGAGGCTCGCTTCAGCAATACCTGGAGAGGCTGGAGAGCGAGTACATGGCCTCCCAGCAGCGACTGCAATCAGCCCAGGCTTCGGAGGAGGAGGTGAAGGGGGCTGGGAAGAGGGCGAGGGAGCTGGCTCCACTGGTGACGGAGCTGCATGGGCTGAGGGTCAAAGTACAGGAGCTGGAGGACATCGAGACGCTGATGAAAGGTGAGGGTTCATGTCCTAAGAGAGCCAGAGAGGGCTTTCTGCCCCTTCGAACATCTTCCCCCAGCATCGTAATAAATGAAAGCCGATTCAGATGGGCTGAAGGGCCTTTTTCATCCAAACTAATCTGATGAGCTTTGGATTCCATTACTTCTCCGTGTCACTTATTATGCTTAGAAATAATGACTGTTTGTGGGACATTGCTGTGCGCAATTGGCTGCCGCGTTTCGCCCACAAAATAATTCACTGTACAGAATATTCTGTGGAAGCGTTTTGAGATGTCTTGAAAACGTGATAAGGTGCTATATCAAATGCAAGGATTATTATTAAATTTAGGGCACAGAAGAAGGCCACTCAGCCCATGGTTTCTGTGAATAATCCTTTAATGACAATCCTTTCAGCCCTGTTTACCTCCCCTTTCCCCACATACCCTTCTATTTTACCGCTTTTTAAGCATCTCATCTGGTTACGTTTGAAAGTCGCTATATAAATGTAATTTTGTTGTTATTTGTTGTTTTAAAAGTTAATATGGATTTTGCCTCCACCACTGTTCCTGGCAGCACATTCCATATCCTAACCACTCTCTGTGTGTGAAAAATATTCCTCACAACCTCCTCATGTGCTTGCCTGCTAACTATCTCAAATGGGTGCCCTCTAGTCACTAACTCACCAACCGTGTTTTCACAGTCGAACCCTGTTATACAGGAGTCCTGTAACTCAGTGGTGATACGCTCTAATTTTAGAGGGAATACCGGGCGATGATTTCACCATCCAACATATTGCGCCAAGCCGCTGC